ACGTCTTCTCCGTGGGGCTCTCCCAAAATTCAAGCGGGGAAGGAGAGAAACTCAGCGCCCGGGGGTTTCTTGGGTCGCTGAATTCAAATGTGGCACCGGCGAACAATCCCCGGACACCTGATGCGCCCGAACCTGGACGTGGACGTCATCCACGAAAATTTTCCTAACAAGATCGCCAAATTATCATAGGGGCGTTTTTTTGGGGCGCTTAATCCGAATTTCACGTCGACAACGACCCCTCGAACACCTGGTGCACCGTAACCTGGGCCTGAACGTCGTCTCCGAGGGTTTTCCAGACACGATCGCAAACACTAACCAAAAATCAACAATTCCACACAGCTGTTGCAGTATTGATGTCGGTCTCTAAGATATCAGGTTTGGTTGACATTCATGGGAATGACATCGATGTCAAGATAAAAGTTCGGGTGCACCAGGTGTTGGGAGGGTACTTTTCGACGTGAAATCCGGATTCAGCGCCCCGAAAAACCCCTCATAACGATTTTGGGTTCGTCTTCTTCGATTGTGTGAGGAAACCCCTCGGAGACGACGTTCAGGCCCAGGTTACGGTGCACTAGGTGTTCAGGGGATCGTTTTCGACGTGAAATTTGGATTAAGCGCCCCAAAAAACGCCCCTACGATGATTTTTGAGTTGTTTTTGGCGATCTTGTTAGGAAAATTCTCGGAGATGACGTCCACGTCCAGGTTCGGGCGCACCAGGTGTCCGGGGGGTGTTCGACGATGGCATATTTGAATTCAGCGACCCAAAAAAACCCCGGGCGCCGAGTTTCTCTCCTTCCCCGCGTGATTTGTGGGAGAGTCCCACGGAGATGACGTTCATCGGCGTTCCTGAGCTCCAGGTGTTCGGGGGGTCAATTTGAACATCATAATCGTGATCAGCGACCTCGAAAATCCCCGAGTACCCGATTTGGGCCAGTTCTGACTCTTATTTACAAAGTTTTGAAATCTTCCAAAAGGCGTTTCAAAAAATTTTTGGCTGCAGCAATGCAATTTCCGGTTTGTCAGAAAGTAGCCACATTTTTTACAAAAAATTTTTGGAAGAAAATACAAAAAACCGCAATCCGATCCGCCTTTATGGAAAAAATTCCGAACTTTTGTGCTTCATTGCCTCGCATGTAATAATGAACTGATATTATGTTCTGACAAGTCCTGTATTTTATATGAAAAGATTTGTCCAGACTTACATATGAGTGAATAAATATGTCAATCGTTATCGGCCAAAGGTGCGCATATGCATCCACTATATATATGTATCATTATGACCATCGTCTTGAAAACATATGTAAAAAAAATACATGAGTATCAAAATAGATCTTTTATTTACGTCTGGCTCAAAAAAAAATAGTCTGCTCATTTTTACAATTTAGAACAATATTTGTTTGAAAATGTGTTCTAAAGTTTTAAATATCGTATTTTCTTTAAAAAAATAATATTAAAACAATATTATTTTTAATTAAATAAAAATACTAGTACACTCTCTGGACTGTTGACATAAGATTCTGTAGGTAGGAAAGCATAGAATTTTACGGATGATCTCAAAAAAAAATTAAAATAAAAGGGTGCGTTTACGCACCTTTGGCCGCTAATGGGTTTTAAATAAAAAATATCAATGTTAAATTAGTTGCTTTATCTTTCCAATCTTTTTCATTTTAGGTACACACGTCTCATTAATTATTCCTGTAGAGGGACGTAAAAATACATTTTTAATCAGTAAAGAACGGGAATTGTTAGTTGTAACTTGGGATGGAGAAAGCGACAACATTACTGTTGTGAAAAAAATTAACACTGACAACAATGAGAAATTCAACGATGGTAAATGCGACCCTACAGGCAGATTATGGGTAGGCAAGTAAAATATAAACATAATATTTATAAAACCATGAAAATTTGTTTGTTATATTTACCTTCAGGCACACTTGCTCCAAGGGAAGGTGGTGCTACGGGTTGTCTTTATTCTATTGAAAAAGGCCACGTCACGAAAGTTGCAGATAAAATAATTATCTCCAATGGTTTGGCATTCAACACGGAAATAAAGAAAATGTACTACATTGATACTCATACCAAAACCGTAGATGATTTTGATTTTGATGTTGAACGAGGAACAATTAGTAAGTTTTGATGTCAGACACGTTTTGACCTACATATCAGGATTTTTTGTAAATTGTTGTTATATGTATATCCTGAAAAGTCCATTCCATGGTCCCACTCCATTCAACGCCAAACCCTCAGCCGTTAATAGTAAAATTAAGTAATTCATGGGTCTTTCATGAGCACCCTAAAATCATGAAGCCTCCTAACCTCAAAATCGAAACTCGGCAACCCTGTGAAATCTTTATCAGAAACCACCATACCTAATGAGCCCAATAACCCCGTAACCTTATGAAAAGGGAACAGGACAAATTAATTCAATGACTACGACATTTATTGATACAGTGTCATAGGGTTATGATTCTTGGGTGATGATTACGGTGATTTCGGATACAAGATTATGGGTTTATAGAGTTACATGAGTCTAGATTCTAATGTTAGTCAACCATTGCACGTATTTCGTGCATTCCTTCGCTCTATCTGCTCCGTTTCCTATTTCATACGGTTATCAGGTTATGGAACGCATCAAAATCGTCATTAGATACTCGTATCTAATGACGATTTTGATGCTCGCATTATCGTATATCAGGCTTATGGTATGTAGTTGAAGGGTTATGTTGTGATGGATATTGAGGTTAGGGGGTTTTAAGATCCGATTTTTGGCCCATACAACATGTTCTTGTTTGTATAATTGGACAGATAGAAATGTATAAAACTGAGATTTGATTACCTCTTGAAAAAGTTGAACATTTCAAGTTAACATTCTTCCAAATACAGACTTCTTTAATACATAGAGTCAACACTTTACATATTTCTGGGAAATTTGGATAGGATAATCGGATAATCGCTCTTTTAGCAACAAAACATTTGTGATCTGGTATACGAATATAAGAACCTTACTTACCTTACTTACTGAATTATTCACCAATATATTTTTTCCTTCATATGCGTATGTGATCACTTTGTCAACAACGCCGTAGGTACACAAATAATTTTAAGAATAATTTGTAGAATATATACTTTTACAGAAATGTACAGATCGTTTTGGATACAACAGATTTTCTATTTGCATTCGATTTTATCATGTACATATAGTAGATAAGAAATCACTTGCCATATGTAATTTAACCTAGCTTTCATTTATAAATTAATTACTTAATGCAACTCTTAATACAATTGAACGGTTAGAGATATCTACTATCCTTTTCCATGGCGACCATTCATCTAACATTAGTCTTCTATTATTTCACAACTTTAGCAGTAGCTACTTTACACAACTTCTGGGTTTTCTCTTCCGTATAGTAGATATACACACGCTGTCCTCTACCATGCCAATATTTCTCAAATATTTTCTGAATCTACAATGTACAATTATTATTCCTTTTGATCTGTGACGTTGGTTCATCAGACTTTCCATGGTTTGAACAATTTCCGGGTTGATTGATAAAATAAGTTTCAAAGATACTTCTAGAGAAGAAAGCAATATATCTATCACAAAGTGTAAATCAACGCCTTGGCAATCAGCCTGGAAATTGTTCCACAATGGGCTCATTCAGCATTTTTTTTTATTTTCTTAACGGATGGATATTGCAATTTTAAGGTTCCCTACAAAAGAATAGAATTTTATATCGCGTGCTAGTCATCAAAAAAAAATCATAAACTGGCGCGCTAAGTATCCGCTGAAGGAGTGACGTCACCGCATGGGAAACCAATGCGACATGCTTACATGTGTTGTCAGTCAGTCGGGTAGTCGGCTTTTAGTTGCCTGTTAAGTTTTGATTAGTACGTCAAGATACTACGAATTTTGTTAGCAATTTGGAAGACACAGAACAGAAACAAATTACAAATAGACGCCTAAGAAAATAATAATGTCCCCGCAATTCTGTCGTGCGGATCTAAAATCGATAGTCTATTAGTCTACTTTGATTTGTTTTTTTAAATATCTTTTATTTGAAAATTGACTTATTTTGAAAGCAACAAAGCTACCCTGCGTAATCTAGGTATGCAATAAATACGTGTGTATCCTCTAGAAACACTATACAATTGTGNTTCTCTTCCGTATAGTAGATATACACACGCTGTCCTCTACCATGCCAATATTTCTCAGATATTTTCTGAATCTACAATGTACAATTATTATTCCTTTTGATCTGTGACGTTGGTTCATCAGACTTTCCATGGTTTGAACAATTTCCGGGTTGATTGATAAAATAAGTTTCAAAGATACTTCTAGAGAAGAAAGCAATATATCTATCACAAAGTGTAAACCAACGCCTTGGCAATCAGCCCGGAAATTGTTCCACAATGGGCTCATTCAGCATTTTTTTTTATTTGCTTAACGGAAAGATATTGCAATTTTAAGGTTCCCTACAAAAGAATAGAATTTTATATCGCCTACTAGTCATCAAAAAAAAAATCATAAACTGGCGCGCTAAGTATCCGCTGAGGGTGTGACGTCACCGCATGGGAAATCAATGCGACATGCTTACATGTGTTGTCAGTCAGTCGGGTAGTCGGCTTTTAGTTGCCTGTTAAATTTTGATTAGTACGTTAAGATACTACGAATTTTGTTAGCAATTTGGAAGACACAGAACAGAAAAAAATTACAAATAGACGCCTAAGAAAATAATAATGTCCCCGCAATTCTGTCGTGCGGATCTAAAATCGATAGTCTATTAGTCTACTTTGATTTGTTTTTTTTAATATCTTTTATTTGAAAATTGACTTATTTTGAAAGCAACAAAGCTACCCTGCGTAATCTAGGTATGCAATAAATACGTGTGTATCCTCTAGAAACACTATACAATTGTGTTTTCCATTGTTGTTTTTTTGTAAATATTGTACAAATAAGTACCTACAGGTACTAAGTGTTTATATAAAAATGCATAATAAATATTATATTATTAATATATTTATAAGATATTAGGTAGATTTTATGTAGTTTNGAAAGTGATAACAAATCGCCAAAAACCAATGTAACGTAAGAAATACTAAATTTATACCATTCGCGTACTTAACTCGAATGACTGACATTTTTACCGTTACTAATTGTTTGTACATAAGTTTCAATTTTAAAATCAAAATTCTTAATAAATATTGGGCGGAATTATAAAATTTAAAGTCTGTTGTAAAGAGAATTGTAAGAGCTTTCAAAAGAAATATTACTCAACCTCCAATGCCACTTAAATATTTTGGGATAATGGTTGTCCTTGCTTGGGGGTGAAAATGGCGGAGTCAAAAATACCAGCAAAGAATGTCCCCCTTTAATCTGAAATTGACGAGTCTGTGCGTTTTTCTACAATCTTGACGCAGTTCCTGAAAATGGCTCTGTTTCGTTTTTATTTGGCCACCCTGTAATAGATATTAGGTAGATTTATGTAGTTTCCATGGGAATAAAAATAGTAATCAGATTTTTGCATTTGATTAGGCAAATCTTTGAAACCTGTGACAGAAACGGTTTCGTCCAATTAAACGTAAAATCCTTATTTTTATTTACTATTCTTCTTGTACAAAAACATCAAAACTTTCGCTAAAAACGTACTTTATAGAAGCTTTACAAGTTATTAAAACGTATCTTTGCATTTTCACTCCTCTCATCTCAGCACTGATAAAGTCATGGTTTATACTACTACTTCTGGCAAATTAGAAGAATCTGCTTTTACGAAGTTTGCTTCCATTTTTTAAATTTAATATGCACAAACGTTAAAACATCTATGTGGTAGGTACTACAACGTTTCTATAGCCTAAAGATGCAGAAACTCATCTGGAACTTCTGGAAGTAGCGTACGAGCGCCTCCTACGATGCGCGCCAAGCCGGCTGACCGTCCCATGCGGTGACGTCATTGCATTGCCATGACTGAGACAAATATTCGCATTTTAAAAATCATATAGTTTGAAAACCGCTCAACGGATTGAGTTGAAATTTTCAGGATCGCCTAATCATGAGCAATTCTTTGTGTATACAATTAATTCATCAATTTTCTCGTTGCCTCGATACCTCTTCTGCTCTAGTACCCAAGTTAGGGGTCAAACTTCTAAACTAAATCTGTGGGGAATAAACCTAAAATATAACTAGTACTGGTAATAATATTCGATATTTGTTTTAGAAAATCGTCACCCTATATTCACTTTACCAAAGCATGATATTCCTGGTGGGCCTGACGGTATGACTATTGACACCGATGGTAACTTATGGGTAGCAACATTTGGGGGTGGTAGAATCTTTAAAATAGATCCCCGGAAACCAGAAACACTTCTGTACACAATTTCATTACCAGCTAAACAGGTAAATCCGAGGGATAATACTAACACATGATTTAATTGAGCATACAAAACTTATAATAATTTTACTTATTTAATTTTCCTTACTATTTCATTTAGATTACATCGGTAGCATTTGGTGGAAGCAAGTTAGATGAACTCTATGTTACTACTGCTTGTGTACAGCATGGCGATGGCGCAAAACTGTCACCCCCAGAAAATGGTGGACTTTATAGAATCACAGGATTAGGAGCAAGGGGTTTTCCTGCGAAAAAATTTATTATCTAGTTGAATACTATATACTATATGAAATAAATAATGTACACAACTGTTCTCTTTTTTTTTTGGATTTATATTGCAAAAACGGCTCAATACTCTTAGTTAGCTTGATAAAAATAATAATACATATAGTTTAAGATCCCGACTTGGATCGACCTTTACCCATCGAGCTTTCTAATAAAATTTGAATTTTGATAATATAATGTATTCATAAACAAAACTTGATTTGGTAGACATTCAATTTCCCTGCACAGATATTTTTAATAAAAAATTAAAGTTCAATTCAATTCAAAATTGTTCAGCTTGTACAGTACCGTGGTCACAGCTCTGTGTTTTTTAATCAAGGCTCCATACTTGGACCTTTGCTTTTTGTTTTGTATATTAATGATATCGCCCAAGATCTAAATGTTCACTTCTTGTTGTACGCTGATGACCTCAAGCTCAATGCAGATATTAACTCCGAGTCAGATTGTTTGCAACTACAGCATGACTTCAATCTGCTTAATTTATGGTGTATTTGTAATCGACTGCCCTTGAGTCCAAATTTAATGTTATGTCATTTATTTGTAAAAAGAGTAAAATTTGTTTTAATTATACTTTAAATAATCAGATACTTAATCGGCCTGAATTTGTTAAAGATTTCGGCATATTTTTTGACGGCATATTACCATTCAATAAACATATGGAAGAATGCATAGCTGGAGCGTACAAGAATCTGGGGTTCATACTACTTAACAGTAGAGATTTTAAAAACATATCTACATTACGAGTATTATTTAATAGCTTTGTTAGGCCTAAATTGGAGTACGGCTCTATAATTTGGTCTCCAAGTTATAATTGTCATATAACGGCGTTAGAGAAAGTACAGCGAAGGTTCTTTAAATCCGCAAGTTTCATATCGGATGGAATTTATCTAACCAGAGGATATTCAGAAGACTTATTATTGAAACGATTTGAGATGAGCAGTCTAATTAGAAGGAGGATTGTGAATTCTATAATTTTCCTATACAAGCTTGTTAACAATGGTATGGATTGCATTATGCTTACCTCTGTTGTTAGCTACAGATTTCCTAGAGCCAGCGCTAGATCTAATAATTTATTTGTTGTTTCCTACTCCCGTACTAATATTT